CAAGGATATGCCCATGACATATGCAGCCAAGCTCATGTCTCCGTAGCTCAGAGCCCTGTGGATCTCATGCATGCGTGCCGTGTCAATCGTGTCACCCATGGACGTCACGATTTTGCGCCACTCGGTCATGATGCCATCCGCCTCTCTGACACTGCCCAACATGTCCTTACTCATCATTTTTTTCAAGTCTGCTTGGCTCACTGCTTCTCTGCAGTAGGCCAGCTTCACCTGAGATCAGCAAAAACAAGCAACCTCGGCCAACATGCGTGAGTTCCCATGCAATGTGTGACACATGATTGCATGCATGCATGAAAGTGCATGGAGTGGCCATGGCATGCCGGAACCGTGGGAACTGGTTCGAACCCTTGACATCGGCACTGACCTTCTCCCAGAACGCATGCCCCAACGAACGTGTACTGGGGGAATGGAGCCTGACGAAGGTCTCTGTTTCGTTGAGCAAAAATGGATCCGTGCCCCCCGCGGTCTTTAACACAAAGCTGTAAAGGTGCGGCATGGACTTGCCATGCACGGACTTCCCTGTCGTTACCTTGTTCTTCAAGGCCAGGAAGTCCACAACACCCTGCGAGCTCATCTGGACCCAAGTCTGATGTAGACGCCTCATGAGCTGGAGCTCATGCTCCCCACGGTGAAGGGTAGCGTTCCCCATCCGTTGGACTAGGCCAAGAAGTTGCGGCAGCTGGGCAGCGACATGTCGTGACAAAATCTTCCAAACCACTCCTTCACGTGCCGCCCTGGCGAACTCAGGGTCGTGGCGCCGAAGCAACTCCATGCTCAGCCGCCCCTCGTGGCAGACAGACGCATCTCCGTCGTGCAGGACCTCGTAATGGAAACAGCGAAGAACCGAGTTGGTATGAGAGCCTGCCAGGGAGAGTGCCTTGATGAGTGTGGGTTCGATAGGCCCACAGCTGTTCTGCATGGACTCGAAGAGGCGCACATTCCATTCAAGGTCTTCGGGTCCCGTCGGTTCATGAGNNGACCCCGGGATTCGAGTTGGGCGATTGCCGCATGCACTGTTTTCACTAGTCGGTCTCCCTCTTGCACCTGCGACAACTTCGCCGAGAGCTCCGCAACCAGCTCCGCAGACAAAGCCATGCCGTGAGTGATGCTGTGTGTCGGGAAGGTCTTAAACCAAAGCTGCATGCAAATGTATATGAATGCATGTCCCTGCCCGCGAGCAAACTGCCCTGCAGGTCGGGTTCATGCCAAGATATAATGCCCAACATGCAACAGTGACATGCTTTTCATGAAAATGACTTGCACTCTGCACAGCGGCACTGACTTTCTAACATGCGATATACAGCTGCAAATGCACGGGGGGGCGGCACCTCCTGAGGGCGCCAATGCCATCGACGGCCGAGACGCACTGCCTCGGAAAACCCAACCTGGCAGGGCTTTGGCCCCATGAACACGGAGATTTCTAAGACATGCATATCTACTTACGCAGAAAGATAACTGACTTATAAGTACATACATCTCCATGTGTATAAGCTGCCTAAGTGTGTACGTTGTGCTTATTCCAGTTAACACAAGTTGTTAGTAATGCCTGCAAGTGGTAACTAATCAGTGTTTCTACATATATCTGAACGGCATCACTTACTAAATGCTGCAACTCTCTTGCACAACTTCAGAGATATATATGTTGTGTTATGCTGAATATATCTTAAGTTAGCAAACATACTTAAACCGACCAGCCCTCCGAACCACATAACAAGCACCACGATCCTTCAAGTAGGGTGTCACCATGCCATTGCGGCTTACAGGTGGAGACACCGTGCA